CGCCAGCGTCCCCCCCGGCCCGCTCCGGGGTGCCATGAAGCAGGAGCCCGACTGGGGAGACGAGGCGTCGGGCTCGCTGCTGCCCTCACAAATCGCCACCTGCGCCCAGACCATCGTCAACCTGAGCGGGCAGCCCACGCCGCCGACTTCCCCGGAGCCTCCGGGCAGCGCCTCGCCGTCGAGTTACAGCAGCCGCTCTTCGGCCTCCTCGTCGCCTGGGGGCAAGGAGCGAACGGTCAAGAAGTGCGTGGACAGGTTCAGCCCGGAGTACCGGCAGCGGCGGGAGCGAAACAATATCGCCGTGCGCAAGAGCCGCGACAAAGCGAAGCGCCGCAACCAGGAGATGCAGCAGAAGCTGGTGGAGCTCTCAGCGGAGAACGAGAGGCTGCACAAGAAGATCGAGCAGCTGACCAGGGACTTGAGCAGCCTCCGGCACTTCTTTAAGCAGCACTCGTTCTTGCAGCACTCCGCGGCCACGGACTGCCGGTAACCGGCTGCAGAGGGAGCTCGCACGGCTGCCTAGGCTTGTGCCAGGGAGACGTTGAACTTTCTTCAGGAATACCTCAGAGGGAGCCGCACAGACTGCAGCGGGGGCTGCATGGGGGGGGGGAGTGGGGATGAGTCGATTGCTCAAGAGACAGTGCCAAAGATGTCCGGAGAGAAAAAGGAAGACTCCTTGTTGTCGTGTTTTCTTCCCTCTCCAGAAAGCAGAAGTCGAGGCTGGAAGGCCAGCTAAGAAGAAACACGCCGTGAAAACGTGTTGGCTTTCACGGCGTCTTCTTTCGGAATGGGCTAAGCCTGAGTCTTTAACCACAAAAGTTGCCAAAAACGTACATGAAAAAGCTATGCATTTTTCCTAAATTATTTTTGTAATGGTAGGGATCTTTTTTTATTATATCTTACCCATAATGATGCAGCTATGGTACTTTGTAAGAAAACTAGAATGATTTCCAGACTTTTCAAACACTTTTTATTGTAAACTGCCAGAGAGGAAAAATAGACTGAGCATGCTCAAAACTTTTATATAAATTTTTACAGCATTTCTAAAAATAATAAAAAATATCCGTTTGAAATGTGCTTTGATTTTCTGTTTGTTAAGGTGGGGACACACAAACTGAACAGCTTTCCATGCAGAACTTAGGCAGTTTCTTGATTTCAAAACTGGTAAAACAAGTGATTGATGCATTTACATAGTCTGCAGTATTTTTGAACTAGAAGTTCATTCGCTCGCGAAGGCTTTCATGGCCGGGACCTAATGGTTGTTGTGGGTTTTTCGGGCTCTTTGGCACTGTCCTCTGAAGATGCCAGCCACAAGAGACTGGTGAAACGTTAGGAAGAACAACCTTCAGAACACTGCCAAAGAGCCCGAAAAACCCACAATAACCGAAAAACCCACAATAAGTTCAAACAGCTTGTTGCAAAAACATGCTTCTTACAGCTTTCTGCTGTTTTACTGCACTGCTCATGAGTTAATATGATCTACTAATTTTATAAGAAGTTATAGTCCTGTGACCCATTTTGGGGGGGGCATTAAACATATCAGAATAGACTCTGAGTGCACATGCATAGGATACCATTAAGCCAACTAAGCAAACTTTGTGGAAGTAATCCTCATGTGCTGTCAAGTCAATTTGGATTTATGGCAACCCTTTTCCAAGGTTTTCTAGGCAAAGAATACTCAGAAGTGATTAGCATCTGGGGAAGACCCTGAGACTGCAGCTTGCCCAAGGCCACACAGGCTGGGTCTACTAGGGGAGGCACAGTGGAAAATCAAACTCCCAATCTGACTTTGCAGCCTACCAAACCACCAAGTTACCCAGCCAGCTTAGTGGAACTGCAGGTATATAAATGAATGTATATGGTGCTAGAGTGTATTTTACATTACATAGGAAAAATGTGCAATTTCAAAGTGAAATGTACAATATAGTCCAAGCAGTCTCCTCTTTACACAGAGGACACCATTGTGAAGTGGCAAGAAGCCAGGTTTGGCTTTTTAGAGGCCCCAGAAATAGTACTAAGCAATGATTATAATGAGGCATGAGGAGACAAACTAAATCTTGTAAACAAATACAATAAATATGATTGGTGTTTACAGGACTTATGTGTAAATATCATGATAGTTTGTTTTCAAAACTACGGGCTACTTTTATTTCAAATAACTGAAGAGGGAGCTGGGGAGGGTGTTAGAAGTGTTCACATTTTTTCTCCATTGTAATGCAACAGGCATGTTTCAGTTGTTTAAAAAAACCTTGCCCCAAAATCCCTTTTAGGAATTACAGTGGTCTCACGCCATTAAAAACATGAACTGACTTTGAAAGATGCAGAGCCCACATTTCATAGGGGTTGTTCCTAATTCAAACAGAATTTTAACTATTCTCAAAGGTGCATTCACTTGGAAGGTACATTCACATATTCACTTGAACAAGGGTAAGAAATATGTGGTCCACTAGATGTTGTTGGACTCCCAGCTTCCATCAGCAATGGGGCCAGGACAGCCAAGAATAAAGAATGATGAGACTTGCAGTTTCAACAGCTGACAAAATTTGGTAGCCCAGTACAATTAATACAGACATTGCTTTGAAAAATTTAATATGTGACTATAAATTTACTGGACATAGGGATGCTCAATATTTTTTATTTCTCTCTCCCCTTCCCGCCATTAAGCAAAAAGGCCAAGATGAAGGAGCCACATTATGGTAATATTTTATACTAGCAACAGATGGATTCCCTGCACCTTTTGCCCTACAAAAAAGAACAGCCGATAAAAATACAGGACTCTGCATCACAACTGGAGGAAGACAGCAAGGTCAACCGATTTCAATGTTCCACCTTTCATAATCAGGAGGGGCATATAACTTCACTTAAAACATTTATGTCCCTTATTTATTCCAGGTGTCTATATAAACAAAGGAAATTTTAAAATGTGGCTAGTATCAAATACAATTATTCTGAAGAGAGCTACTGTCTACAGAACATTATGCTGAATAAGACAATTAAGATACCACCAGACTTCTAAGAGTTACTCAGAAACAGTAACTTATGCTCTGCTTTTCATAATATTGTGTAATACAATAGCCACTTTATGGAATTCTGTATTCAGATTATGATTCATTCTGTGCATGTGCCCTTGACACCTTTTATCACATCACCAGAAAGCAAAACACTTTAATTATTTCGTTTATTTGAAACAAATATAAACCATCATTAAAAGAAATACAGATCTCCACTAAAACATGTTGGCTGGTATCCTATTACCTAAACATAGAGTAGAAGACAATAATTTCCCTAGCAGGCTTCCCATCACACTGGTTGCAAGATCAGTCACATACCTGGTCGTACAATGGGAAAATCTCTCCCCCACCCCCGACAACACTCATCTGATTGCCATTCTGCACATAATATAACTTCCCCCCCCCCAGCTTTCCATGCCACCTGAAAAAAAATCCAGGAGGTTCTCAGGATCCCTGAAGTGGTTTTGAGAATCCACAGCAGATGCAGCAGGGAAGAGGAATTGTTCCCTTCCAGTTCTCCAGAATCCCAACATTTCACACGCTGAAGTCCACCATGAGGATCTTGCACATAGCTCAGAAATTAATTTTAAAAGCTTTTACAAAAAGAGGCAATTGTTTAATATCTACTTAGAAAAATTATATATATTGGCCCCTGAAACTCATTGGTTGGAATATTACTGGTTTAACTTGTCACCACAAACATAAGTTTGTCTAACTTGCTACAGGTAATTGCAACTGATTGACAAGGTGCATGGAGGCACATACGGAATGCACAAACCAAGCATGCAACAAAGGCACAAGTCATCACCAGTAAGATTCTGGACATTATAACAAAAATAACTTCAAGAGTAATGAAAAATATTGTTGGAAGTACCATTTGCACTTTACTACTTTGAAAATTACTTAAGTACAACAGAAGCATATACACCATGGGAAATTAAGCAGCTGCTGGGTCAGCTGATTTCAACAGGAGAAATTTAATATCTTGGCTGCTATTCCTCTCACTGAAATCAGTAGACTTCAACTGGAAACTTAATGTCTTGCTCATACCCAACATGGATGTTAAAAAAATTCTTTGACAGATGACTGAAAAATAATCTCTTCCTAGTTAAGTATTTACTTGCCTATATAATACATTATCTACAAGTTTAGTTTGCAAGTTACATATTACAAAGTTCATAGGGTAGCAGACAGCATTTCCTTTAGCTTCCTCCTACATCTGGGAGAATAATTTCTTCCAGTCCAACACAGCTAGATGGGTGATTGGTGGCAGACTGAACATAACAATTTAAAAACCCCACCTCTTTTCCCAGCACGCTCTTCAATTCATAGCACTGTAATGAGAGAGGCACATTCATTTAGACAAACAACTCTGCACATTTTGTCCCAGCTAGCATAAAGTGTTAAATGTAAAGTGTTCTTCAAATTTTAAAAAAAGTTTATTGTTTTTAATTCCTCAAAAAGCAAAAGAGTCTATGTACAGTCCTAACAATAATGAAATATTAACTACAGTGGTGCCTCGACTTACAAATGCCCCTACTTACTACCATTTCAAGTTACGCCCAGCTCCACTTACAAACAGAAAAAGGCAGGAAAAAAGGCAGGAAATTCAAATTTCTAACTGTAGGACCAACGAGGCTGCTTCTTTGTAGCTCTTTTGCCCCAGCAGTTAGAGAGTGTGCTGTGTCATCGAAGGCTTGGGACTGCCTCCTTCTGCTTCTGAGAGGGTGTGTGTATTTGCAGGGAGGCTTCAGGCTGCCTTGTAAGGTAAGGTGCTGTTTTCTGCTTTTTAAAAACTGTTCTGGGTGCTTTTGCAGCGTGGCTTTGAGCTGGGGGGTTATGTTTCTGTGCTTTGATGGGTCTTGGGGGTTTGTCTGTTTGTTTGGTCCCCATTCCATTTCTGGTGGGTCCTGGGGGGTTTGGTTGCTTTTTGGATTTCCCCCCATTTCCGATGGGTCTTGGGGAGTTTGTTTGCTTTTTAGCCCCCCCACCCATTTCTGATCCTGCACGATCTGCTTGATTGCTTTTTTGCTTTGTCTTGCTTGCATTTGCAATGGGTCTTGTGTGGTTAATTGGTTTTTGGTTTGTTTTCTTTGCATGAGGTCTTGCATGCTTGATTGCTTTTTGTTTTGTCTTGTTTGCATTTGCAATGGGTCTTGCACGGTTAATTGGTTTTTGGTTTGTTTTCTTTGCATTAGGTCTTGCACACTTGATTGCTTTTTTGCTTTGTCTTGTTTACATTTGCTATGGGTATTGCATGGTTGATTGCTTTTCTTCTCCCCCCCTCTTCGGCTGGAAGGGATTAACTGTGTTTCCGACTGCTCTTCCAGTGATTTTTTTTGTTGTTGGTTTTTTTCTTTGGCCGGAATGGATTAATTGCATTTCAGTGCATTCCAGTGGGAAATGGTGCTTCGACTTATGACCATTTCGAGTTATGACCATCTTCCTGAACCAATTAAGTTTGTAAGTCAAGGCACCACTGTACTTTGATCAACAACTTTCAATCAAACACTGAGAAATGCAGTTTCACAATATTCAGTTAACTTAGAATGCAGTCCTACATGTGGGTTAATTTGGAGTATAATCTGTTGAATCCAATGGGGATTACTTTAAATTGACATACATAGTATGGTTTATTGAAGTCAAAACCAAACTATTTATAAAACCAGGGAATTTCCCTTCAGTAATACCCATAACCAGATATCAATTGCTTGGTATTCATGGTTTTCTACCATAGATTCAACTGTATACTAACTTTTACTGATATTTCAGTAATCTTAAACTGTTGCTGCTCACTGAGGCTGATTTAGAACAGTATCCTTTATATAATTTATCTTAATTAAAAAACATCACCTTTACAATTACATGGCTTTCAATGAAATCTCCATATAGCTGGAATTAGAATTAAAAGCATATTTTCCTAATATTCTTTAATAAATGTATTTTTAAGTAAACATACCCCATCCTCATTGGGGGAAGGCTCCAGAAGTGAAGAAATTGTCTTTTGTAGCAGCTGGTATTATAATGGAGAGAAATGACAGAAGAATTCCATTTAAACATTCTCTAACCCCCACTACAAATAGTCATATTTGATAAACATTTTTAAAAGTCATGTTGCCATCTGTTCTCTTGCTTATGGTGAAATCATAGGAGGTTTGTTTGTCTACATAAGGTCTGAATTCTTATAAGCAGTTACAAGGATAGGTAATTTCACACAAAATACCTGTCTTAACATTTCATGATCCCACGAAGACTATAACAATAACCCAGCTTTAACATTATAGTAGAAACATTGTTTCAGAAAGGAGACAAATCTGTGCAACAGATTAAGAACTAGACTGGACATGAATGGCTCTCAAATCATTACTATGTCATTAAAGATAATGGCTGGCCTTTGGAAAGTCACTGTCTTCCATCCTGACTAACTTCACATGATTGTTATGATGCTACAATAAAACATATATTGTTATCTGCCCTTAGGATATTGAGCAAATGTTCAGCAAAACTTTACATTCTTATTCCTTGCTCAATGGAGAACTGTCACTTCTTGACAGTTTCTCTCCCACCCTAACCACTGTAAGCTACATTACACCAACATTCTTGGGTATAACACTCAGCTGGAAGTGTACTGGAGAAATAACATACTATTTATCAGGAAAATAAAGGTGGGCAGACTAGTTCTAGGGAAAAATAAGTACTAACAACTGTAGTAACTTTTACCACCATGACACCAAATTCAGTATGGGCTTTAATGGCTAGAAGGACACCTAGGGACAATACACAAATTGCCCACTCATTCACTGCAATGAATAAAAGGATTGGGGATGTTTGAAATGCTTTCCATTGATTTGGTATCTGTGGGTACACAGACTTTTAGAGATGAACATGATTCCTTTTCTCCTATAGGCCAGGAAGTTTAGTGTCTATGTCATGACCATCTACAGTAAATAACAATCCACACCTATACATGTCAACCAAGATCATCCAAATCATGGGTAGGCAGGATCTACTTTTTCTTATAGGGTCTATTTTTTCTTCTTCCCTTTTTGAAAAAACCTGCACCCTTGAGATCTACCAAGCAGAGCCTAGTGCAAAATACTACATTTAAGACTAAATCATTAGGAGGCCTATTTTGGGTACCAAAATGGGCAGCCCTTTCATACACAAAAAACCCTCATTTCAGCAAATTTAGGATGCAGTATCCCTTTGTTGACCTGATCAGAGAGACTTGCCAATCTATTGGAGATCGCTAAGAAATCTAGCACTACAGATGTACCTTCTGCCCACTCCATCAAGATGTTTTTATGTGGTACCAAAAAAACAAACCAAAACAAAGCAAAGAAAATACCACCCAAAAAACTCTGACTAAAGACTGAACAGTGTAGTTAAAGTGAACACTTTGCTTACGCTAGGGTCATATACGAAATGTTATTTCGTTCCAGAACACTTGAACTGACACATCAAATGTTGCCACAGTTGAGTAGTTGTTATCATCTGAACTCTGTTCTTCTCATACCTTTATTTTTACTGTAGACAGTGGTCTGGATGGGCAATGCACAAAGACTTCCAAGTGCTTCTTGACAACTGGTGAAATTATGGCTTCACAACACTGAATGCAATAAAGCAATCCTCTGAAATGCAAGAGAAAAGGTCCATGCTGTAAGCCAATATATTCCTTAGTTATCTGTCTTTTTGAGAATGACTATGTTACTTTCAAGGGACGTGATGACGCTGCAAGTTAAACCACAGAAGCCTCTGTGCTACAAGGTCAGAAGACCAGCAGTCGTAAGATTGCGACAGAGTGAGCTCCTGTCGCTTGTCCCAGCTCCTGCCAACCTAGCAGTTTGAAAGCATGTAAATGAGAATAGATAAATAGGTACCACCACGATGGGAAGATAACAGCATTCCATGTCTAGTCGTGCTGGCCACATGACCACAGAAACTGTCTTTGGACAAACGCTGGCTCTACGGCTTGGAGACAGGGATGAACACCATTCCCTAGTGTTGGACATGACTGCAATAAATGTCAAGGGGAACCTTTACCTTTATGTTAGTCTCAAGCATGTTATCAAGCTTTTTTTTTTTTTTTTACTTCTGACTGTTAACTGGAAGAACTAATCTTCATATTTTTTCTACTTGTTTTTTGTTTGTTTATTTTGTTTTGCCACAGCATGCTGTGATCCTACAGAGCCCCAGAATGGAGCTACACATAATGAGGCAAGCAGCAGATTCTCAATTCCTTGTCATGAGGAAGGGAACATTTACAACATAAGGAAGATCAAAGGTGCATAGCTCTGCATTACAAGAAAAAAACTACTCTTCTCCTATCCAGGCTCCAAGATGGGAAAACCAACTTCAGGAAGAATTCTGATTGCGGGAGGGGAATATATTTACCTAAGAGAATCAGCAAATGTGAGAAGAGTTAAGCACCCCATGATGTCCTGTTGATCTCCTGCTGCATTCTTGTTAATAAGCAATAATGTTCTTAGGAAATTTTGCTGGTTCTCTTTAAGTATCTTTATTCTGCTATTCAGCCAAAAAGGCTCCTCAGATCAATTTTAAAAAGTCAGTGTCTTCCCCAGAGACTTACGATAACAAAACATGTGACACAAAAGGAACAAAGGATGAGGAAGGATGAAGAAAGCCACTCAAGGGACAAAATTCTTAAAAGTTATGTACTAGTTCTTTTGACAACCAACTGGAACAAAAATAACACAAGTAGAGCCAAATCAAGCTAGTCTTTCAGCAGAGGCTATGAAACTGGTCCTGCTTTCCATCTGTCCCTCTTTTGCAGTCAAATGGAGTGGACTGGGAAAAAAGAGGTTGGTTATATGGTGAGGAAATTAACCTATTTTGCTTTTCCCCATGAATATTTATTGAAACCCCTTAATTTCAGGCTCTCACATATGGCAAAAACCACTGACAGCCCCATCCTCTGGACTGTGTATTCCTTTTTTAAAAAGTCCTAATGCTGTTTATTACATGAAGTGGCAATATTTTTGTGTGTCCTTAATATACTCTCAATTGATTCCAGTAGGTGACCAAGGGAACCAAGTGGTCTGGGGTGCAGAGGGAGACAGAATGGGATTACTTTCTACTTTCTTCACACTACTGACACCTCCATAAACCTGCTTCACAACCTCAATATCCACATGGATAGAAGTCCAAATAATGCTTAATGAAACCCAGTTTGGCCCCTTAGTTTTCCCCTCTGACCTCTCATTTTGGTATTCCCTGCACTCTTAATCAAACTACATGAGCATCAGAAGTTGAGTAATTTGACTAGAGGGCAGGAAATGGATGGGAATTGTGGGAGGCACAGAGACATTGCAGATTTTCCTCTTCCTGTAAAGAGTTCTTGTGCTGGTTGCACATGTAGGCAGGAGAGGCAAAAACGAAAGAAAGCAGGGCTTTGTTATGCACAACTGAGATTTAACTATATTTGAGCATCAACGTGTCTGAGTATTCTGCTGCTTTCCTGAAAATTATTAGCTGGGTCATTGCACAAAAATGCTGAGGGGTAAAAATCTGTGAAAAAAAATCTCTGGTTTCCACAATGTTTGAGAACAACTTTCTGGATTGGAGTTTTCTGAATAATTTTTGGACTGAAAATATTAACAAAACTGTTGCAACATCTTGAATGAAATTAAGCATGCCTATAGACCATGAACCATCCATCACTGCTCTGAAGGATCTGATCTTATCATACAACTCCTAAATTTCCTGATGGCCTTTGATGAAAATCTCTGTCAAAAGATTTTTGAGGCTCACAGTGCCTACAGGATCATCTTCATCTATCTGCCAGTTGACATAAGGATATTCTTACCTGCCTTGTGGATGCTGCTCCACTTTTCCACTGCCACATCTGTTACATGTAGGCCAGGAGAAAGCCGTCCTTTCATTAACCCCAGCTATAACGCCTTAGACAAGGGGAAAAATGTTTGCATCGACTTAATATACATTGACTATGCCCACCTTTGGTAGTTGTATCAAAGTTCAGAACTATAAGAAACCAACTCTCAGTTGTCATACATTTAACCTCCAAAATATTAACAGTTCTTGCAGTAGATGAGCTATTATTGTAACTCAATAAGCCAAGATACGAACAAGACAAGTTGCTTGAATTTATATATTCCCTTTGCTCCTGTCTTTAGAGCAAGAGAAAACAAACCAGGTAATTACCTATAAACTATAGGTTCCTTAGTCTATGCACTTGGAAACGATAACTTCTAGATCTGGGAAAATTAGCATATTAGAACAAATTAAAACCATCGTTCAGTACCTTGCCTTGTTGCAAAGTGCTTTAAGTGGTTTCCTCATTTTAATGAAACAAGAAACTATTATTAATCGAAGAATATCAGGTCTGTTTGCTTACAGTGTAGACAATAAGGTTCATCCATACTTCATTTCATTAATATAAAATGGAATAATCTAAGCATGCACACTGTTTTAATGTAATATATAATATAGTCAGGGTAAAGAGGAAAAATTAACAGGCGTTTCCTTAAAACATTTACATGGCAACAGAAGTTGCTCTTATTATCCACATAATTGGGAGCTAAACCTTCCAAAGTAACGTTGACATACGTGACTAGAAACATAAGGGGATTAAAGGTCAAAGAAATATTTTAGATCACTAGTAAGCATTGTTGCTTCTATCAAGAATCAAGTACTTGGGATATTTTATAGGAGGGCTGTAAAAAGATTTGGAACAATGGTGATTTGTTTAGCCAAGCAATAAGCATTAAGGAAGTAGCAATATTTGGAAGCAAAACATACAGATGGATAATCTTGGACACCTGCAGGTAAAAAAGTACAATTTACAAGCTTGCAGTATATATGTCAAAGACGAATCTCCTAGTAATCCCTGTTGTGTGACTAAGAGTTTTTCAATCTTAGGATAAACAAAAAAGTTGCAGAACCAAGATGGCAAAATACACATGTACGTGTACTGGGCTGCAGTGCTCAAAGGCCTACATTAGACTAGTGAAAGAAAAGGGAACAATCTGCATTTTAGAGAATATAATGGCCTCTGTACTTCCAGGAGTTTCAGGTTATGATTGCTAATTGATTCAAGGACAGAGTGGAATAACACTTTAGTTCATAGTGAAATCCTGGACCACAAGAAGAAGCAACAGGAGATTCAAGGACAGTGCACAACTGTATCATATGTTTACTTTTTTCCTCCTGAGTGATCAAAAGGGAGTGCTGAAATCTTCCAATCTATCACTGCAATAGCCTTGTGAGATGCAATGAAGTGTCCCAGCTCCATTCTCTGGATGATCTCCATTACTTTTCTTTCAATTTCATTATTGCTCTTCCAAATACCACAGTTTGGACAAAGTATTTAAAAAGATTCCTTCCTCTTAATTCCACCTACAGTTATCTGAACTTAAGTAAGCAATGATTTTGGGTTGGGTGGAAAATATTAGACTGAATAGTTTATTATGCACAATAAATTGTAAACAATATCTAAAGCCTGTGCATACCTGTGTACCTAGAGTACGACTCCCAGAATTCCCCAATGGAGGATACTGGGAGTTGTTACCCAAAGTCACAAAAATGCACAGCCTCTGATATTATACATCTCTGAATAATGTACAGACAACATGCACTGAATCTGGCTCCATATATATCCCAAATATATGTTCTATTACTGCTTCAGGATACACTAATTTTGAAGCTGCCCCTGAGAATGACTACGGATAGTATTTGGGTGTGAAAAAGACTCTCCCTCTTCAGAAAATGGATGGGTGGGTGTGGGGGACACATATAAATATCTTAAATAACTCCACTGATAAAGCTTCACAGCTAAAATAAATGTACAGATATTAGGGACAAGTTGCATGCAGAAGCAAACAGAATTAATTAGAGGAAGTAAGTCAGGGTGGGGAAACAGTGGCCTTCCAGGTGGTGCTGGCCTAAAACGCCCATCATCTCTGATGACTGATCATGCTAGCCAAGGCCATGAGAGTTTGAATGCAACTAAATATAGAGAACCACAAGTTGGTTATCTGGAAAATAGGTGGCCTTCTGCTTGTTGCTTCTATACCACTGCATCAAAAGGGCGTGCAAACTGTAGAAGAAAGCCCTTCCCCCTCTCAAAAAAAGTTGAAGTGCCTACACATCCACTTTTAGTTTTGTTTTGGGGGGCTTCCGTCCAACCTGTTTATGGAAGAAAGCCATGCCTGAAGACTTCCAGGAGCACAAACACCCAGTTAAAAATTTTTTGCAGGGACCATCAGACAATGCCTGAAAGTGGCATGTAACCTGCTGGCAGTCCTGTACCCATTCTGACTCTTAAGAGATGGGATACAGCAGAGACTTCCCCTTCATCTCTCTGATCTGTCTGTCCACTTGGAATTACGATTTCAATATGGTTTCTGCTTGCAGGGACTGAAGCTTATTGTGCTATACAGCCAACAGCCACTCTCATTACGGATAGCTCTCTACATGAAAAAGCACAACATCTCTCACGTTTGCACAGACATCACTAGGAAAACTGTGGATGCCATTTTCACCTCTTTAACAAAGTACTTCACATACTGCAGAAGAATTTGAAAAAGGGACCCAACAGAGATGGAAGAGCAGGATATGGCTCAGAAACAACATTTGCAGTGGGAAAAGAGATTAAATGATTAATCCAATATTTTCTATCTCCACAATTTCAAACAGGACACCCTGACTATATTTCTGTAATGTGGGACAATATATAACATGTATTTTGATAGCTCAACCCCTATTGATGACTGGGGCTGAAATTCAATTATGAATAGTCCCCAGATGTTCTTGGACTAAAATTCCAAGAAGCTTTCACTTCTAGCTATGATGCCCATGATTTCTGGGAGGTGTAGTCCAAGAATATATGGGGACCCAAGGTTGGGAACCACTGGGTTAGAAGAATATAGTTAAAAGTAGAGGTTACAAAATAGCAGTATAAATGGTGTGCTAATAAAGACTTAAATAGCAGCTATAAGCGGAAAAAATGGAAATGCCAGAGGAGACATCACTCACTAAAACACTGGCACTTTCATAAACAAATACATAAACTGTTCTAGATTTTTAACAAACACTGCAAAAGTTTGTGTTTTTGTTCTTTAATCATTAAGTTGTGTCCGACTCTTCATGACCCCATGGATCAGAGCAGGCCAGGCTCTCCTGTCTTCCACTGCCTCCCGGAGTTTGGTCAAATTCATGTTGGTAGCTTTGATGACACTGTCCAACCATCTCATCCTCTGTAGTCCCCTTCTCCTTTTGCCCTCACACTTTCCTAACATCAGGGTCTTTTCCAGGGAGTCTTCTCTTCTCATGAGATGGCCAAAATATTGGAGCCTCAGCTTCAAGATCTGTCCTTCCAGTGAGCACTCAGGGTTGATTTCTTTCAAAATGGATAGGTTTGTTCTCTTTGCAGTCCAGGGGACTCTCAAGAGTCTCCTCCAGCACACAATTCAAAAGCATCAATTCTTCAGCAGTCAGCCTTCTTTATGGTCCAGCTCTCACTTCCATACATTGCTACTGGAAAAACCATAGCTTTGACTATGTGGACCTTTGTCGGCAAGGTGATTTCTCTGCTTTTTAAGATGCTATCTAGGTTTGTCATTGCTTTCCTCCCAAGAAGCAGGTGTCTTTTAATTTCATGGCTGCTGTCACCATCTGCAGTGATCATGGAGCCCAAGAAAGTAAAATCTGTCAGTGCCTCCATATCTTCCCCTTCTATTTGCCAGGAAGTGATGGGACCAGTGGCCATGATCTTAGGGGGGGGGGGTTATTTTGAGCTTCAGGCCATTTTTTGCACTGTCCTCTTTCACCCTTATTAAGAGGTTCTTTAATTCCTCCTAATTTTCTGCCATTGGAGTGGTACCATCTGCATATCTGAGGTTGTTCATATTTCTTCTGGCAATCTTAATTCTGGTTTGGGATTCCTCCAGTCCAGCCTTTCGCATGGTGTATTCTGCATATAAGTTAAATAAGCCGGGGGACAATATACAGCCTTGTTGTACTCCTTTCCCAATTGTGAACCAATTAGTTGTTCCATATCCAGTTCTACCTGTTGCTTCTTGTCCCACGTATAGGTTTCTCAGGAGATAGATAAGATGGTCAGGCACTCCCATTTCTTTAAGGACTTGCCATAGTTTGCTGTGGTCCACACAGTCAAAGGCTTTTGCGTAGTCAATGAAGCAGAAGTAGATGTTTTCTGGAACTCTCTGGCTTTCCCCATAATCCAGAGGTTAACAATTTGGTCTCTAGTTCCTCTGCCCCTTTGAAATCCAGCTTGTACTTCTGGGTGGTCTCCATCCATATACTGCTGAAGCCTACCTTGTAGGATTTTGAGCGTAACCTTGCTAGCATGTGAAATTAGTGAAATTGTACGGTAGTTCAAGCATTCTTTGTTTGTGTACAGCTGTGTTTAATCCTGTAGAAAACTAAAAGTAGTAATATTTATAGTACTTAGTAATATCTGCTAATAATACCAAACTGCAGTCCAGGATGGATTGTTCTTCAAATCAACCTAATATATCACTTCTGTGCTGTTTCATTATTCAGTATAGCACCTGAGCAAAGACAATGTGATCTAGTGGTTACAGTATAAGACTTAGACTGAAGAAATCCAAATTCTAAATACTACTTAGAGAGTAAGTTCACCAGCTAATCTTATTCACTTCCATTCTAATCCTCTCTAACAGGGTTGCTGTGAAAAAGAAGAAATGAGGAGAAGCCATGTGAACTGCCCTCATCTGCTTGGAAGACAGGCAAGATAACATATGTAAGGCTTGAAGCAGGCAAAAATGAAGGCTGTACTAACCTCTTACAGTACAAATGGAATTGACTTGAGTTGCAGAATCCAGCTCATCTAGTTTGACAGGATCAGTCAGTTCAGTGATGTCAGAACCAGCAGCCCTACACAAAGGGGGCTTTTGTAATGAGAGAACAGTACGTTCAATGCAAATAATCCTACCTGCCAACAGAGACATTTTGATAAGTTACAGTAACAAGGAAAAAGGTGACCATGTTAATTGTCTTGAGCCAATAATGACATCCGTCCCAGCCAGACTTTCACTGAGCTTGATGTAGTCTGGTTTATTCAAACTCTGAATGTGAAACACATGCTATGTTAAGCAAAGAAAATTCCAATCCAAATCATCTTAATGTGTCAAATATTTAGAGGGAGGGAGGCTATTAGGCTTTTGGCTGCTTGCAGAATTCTGCCGTTGCTTTTTTAGCCTTCCATCCTACTCAGCCTTCCATCCTTTTGAGATGAGTAAATTGAGTACCCAGCTTGCTGTGGGGGCATTGTGTAGCCTGCATAATTAAATTGTAAACCATCCAGAGTGTGCTTTAAATGCTATAGGATGGTATATAAGCAGCATACTTTCCTTTCTTAGAGGTAGCTGTTGCCAATTGGAGGCGAGACATGTTGAACTTTGCTCCCTAAACCAGGATGGCCAAACCTTTGCCCAATGAACCGTCACATGGATGATTCAGTGGGCCTGAAAGCATGACAGGAATCTTCTGTAAGTAGGTCAGTGGTTCAAATGGAACAAGAAGTTCACAATTACCAAAGGCCATGATCATGCAGTGATTAAATTTTGAGCACGAATACAGTCTAATTCTAATTATTTCCAGTATATGCATGTACAACAATTGATAACTATGTGCAAACTCTAGATGGTTGCAGGAAGGCAGTATCATATAAAATTAAAAATATGTTGGCAAATAGGTTCATAGAAGCAATTTGGATGGTACACTGAAATGATTGCATAAGAGAATACCATTCATAAAAAAACTGAGTAAGAATAAGACTCACTGAAGTTGCACCAGGTAGACAAGAAATCTCATTCCTGTGCATACAGAAATTCTCTCCACTATCTTCCCATTAACAATACTGATAAGGTTTCTATGGCTAACATATATTAAGTAGACACTTATTTGATGGGGACATAGAAGCAGCCTCACCATAGACTGGAAAAGCACTGTAAGTACACTTAGATGTCGCCTGGTTAACAATGTGCAGCTGACCAATCCTTCACTTCCAGAAGCATTGCACTGTAAACTTGCTGATGATTTTAAATTGTGCAACACGCTGATACTAATAAAGAAAGAAGACTTATTTGACATCCCTATATTCTGAACAAGAACTTGGGATGCACAATGCTATTGCTAAATAATCAGTGAAAATCCATCAGACTGCAGGAGAGGTGGAGCAATGTGCAGCTGACCAATCCTTCACTTCCAGAAGCATTGCACTGTAAACTTGCTGATGATTTTAAATTGTGCAACACGCTGATACTAATAAAGAAAGAAGACTTATTTGACATCCCTATATTCTGAACAAGAACTTGGGATGCACAATGCTATTGCTAAATAATCAGTGAAAATCCATCAGACTGCAGGAGAGGTGGAGAGCAGAGGCTCTCTCCAGCTTTTCTGAGAGAGACAGACTCCATTAGGCTTCTTGTATTTATTTATTTTTAATTTAATTTAATTTAATTTAATTTATATGCCGCCACACTACCCAAAGGTCTCTGAAGCTGCATACTACAAGAACTTCTAAACTTTAAAAAGAGGTGATCGTTTGCTTGTTTTCTCCTTCCTGCCTCACCCCTTCTTCCTTTTAACTCACCTGTTTCAGAACATATGTCTAGAGGCAAGAACTGTCTTATTTCTTTGGACTTGCATAAGAGTGTTCTGGGTTGGAACAAAAATCCACATATATGTATGTATATGTACATGCATATGTGCATTTGTATAGATATATTCTTAGTGAAATCTTGCCCATGATAGAGATATATACCCAAACCACAGGAAATATATATATATATTTCAAGATGAGGGAGACAATTATTACTGTACTGGAAGGATTTATATAATGATGAATGTAGGGTATAACGTCGAAAGACAATGTTACACAACCTCTGTTTTCAGGAAGAACATGGTCATCCTTCCTCCTTTTTCTTAAAACATAAAGGGATGTAAACATGCAAGACCTTGAACAATCTCACAACCTGCCACAATCATGTGTACCCTGTTTCCCTGAAAATTAAGAACTAACCTGAAGATAAGCCCTAGTATGATTTTTTCAGGATGCTCGTAATATAAGCCCTACTCCAAAAATAAGCCCCAGTTAAGTGAAACCCTGCCCTCCACCATCGTGCAGCAATGTGCAACAACCAGAAGATGACATGACTATATTTGAATAAATGTAAATTGTTGTACATTAAAAAAATAAAACATCCCCTGAAAATAAGCCCTAATGCATTTTTGGAGCAAAAATTGATATAAGACCTTGGTTTAAAATTTTTTAAAGTAACTCAATACTGAAAATCTGCATATCAAACAAAAAAAGATACCATGGTCCTCTTAGTGATGGGCCATGCTAATGCCAAGGCAGCCATCAAAAAGAGGATCTGGGATGTCGAGCTCCAAGAACATTTAGTGGTGCTGGACAAACTTAGTGTATTTAGTAGGAACAGTACATTTAGAATGTCTGGTTATCTATTTAAAACAACAGTCTCCAAATTTAGGAAAGTTTTTATGTTAGCTAGGTGCAACGTATTTCCATCTAGATTAATAGAAGGTATATATCAGGGTTTGCCAGTTGCTAATTGAGCGTGCTCTTGTAATGAAGCGGAGATTGAAAGTGCTGACGATGTCCTCTGGAAGTGCTCCTTCTATGCGGAAGGATTTTCTCCAGCCCATAATGCAACAATTTCAAGGGAGGTCCAGATAATTTTATGTTGTGCTCTTCTTACTCTTGGATGAGAAATTTGATATCACTAAAGCAGTGGCGAAGTTTTGTGTGGTGGCAATGAAGTGTTGCTCTTCCCTCCTTCCCTAAAGCAATGCCGAATGTCTAGTAATGGTGTGTATTGGCCACCATCTCCTCAGTCCTGTGAAACCATGGAGATTCTATAAAATGTAGTCATATTGTAATAGGCTGTATACTTTTAATTGTATGTTTATGTTATACTAATATATATTATAATAATATTTGAATATATCTGCTGGTCAATGACCATAATAAAAGTATTATATCATATCATATATCATATCATATCATATCCTAAAGACACCATGAAACATGCTTTACTTTGATTTACACTTTAATTCTACCAGGTTACATTTTGTATAAAGCATAGAGAAATTTACTGATGTTATAGATGTTTCTGTCTATTTGTGCCAGTGCAGAGCTTGGGAACCTTCTGCCATTCAGATGTCTTGGATTACTACTCTCATTGCCCCTTACCATTGGCTGGGGCTTCACAGAGTTAAAGTTGAAACCATCACAGAGTTAAGGTTAAAATCATTTTCCTCACTGCTCTAGAACTTACCATTTCCACAAAGAGCATCCTTGAAGAAAATAACACATGGAGATGTGCTCTTGAGTGCCTCCAGCACTTCCATGCTGACCACACAAGATGAGACAACTAAGATTGGCAGAATTTTGTGGGTATTGACCTCAACCTCACTCTGCAGGGAGAAATCAGTCACAAATAGCCAAAGCTGCTTTTGGCTTGAAGGAGTGCTCCCTGTTATCTAGAGTTTGAAAATGGAAGCACAATATTAACAAGCATTATTAGAATTAAACATTATTAGAATTAAAGAACCCCCCCCCCAAAAAAAAATTAGTCAAGGCGTTACTAATCAGTGTAGTTGATCCACTAGATCTTCAATTCAAAATCTTCAGTCCTGGAATCTGTACCATGTCCTTTGGTATCAAGCTTGATTCTATGCTCTGTTGTGGTACAGCAGTAAAGCAAGACTTAGAGCACCACGGACAGCAGGCATTATCCCCACTGCCATTCTTAGACTCCAGGAATGAGTCTTTGTGGTTAAGATTCCCACTAAGCTGGGTACATGCACATGACTCCACTTCCCTCCCCACAGCTATCTTCCTTCTAGGCACAGCGATCGTGTTAGGTTCTGGTTGTGATGGAACCCAGCCCATGGGGAGGAGGAGCAGCAAGCGCATGCAGGGATGAAAACATGAGAGAGAGAGAGAGAGAGAGAGAGAGAGAGAGAGAGAGAGAGGTGGAGCCCCACCCAGAGGGGCTGAAAATTAGAGGGTACGTTGTTTGTGATACCACTGCAGGTGAACAGTGAGAGGAACTGACGAGGATAGATACAGTGAAAGAAGCGCTGAGGGTTTCAACTGCAAGTTGTGCCATACCTAATGTCATTATATAATCTTGAACCAGTGAAAAGTTGCAACAAGCATACTCAATTGTTACATTAATGTTGAGAAAAACAGTATGCCAATGGCTGCCTTGTTTTATGGTGGTATTTGCTGAAGTGTTAGATAATACACTGGGTAAGATTTAGGTACCAAAAACATTCTCCTAGTATGGCATTAGTGTTTTCAACCATGATACCTGACTATATATTTCTTAATTAATCAACTTCAAATGCACTCTTCCTAGATGGAATCATCCAATGACTTTGACCTAGTTCATTTAATGAAATTGAAAAATTTACATTTCCCCCCTCTGAATAAGGAAAATAACAGAAACATTACTACCAGGTTGTGTAATATACTCCACTCCCTTGACAGAAACTACTACAGTTATGAATCTCAAAGTTTTTCTCCTGGATGAATTGCAACATTTCTTAAGGATGCACATAAACCGAATGATTCATAAAGGTAATAGGAGAAACAAATAGCTTTACTTCAGGAACTTTTATATTGTGCTTAAGAAAGAAACATGTGTGTGCATGAGCGAGGATAGATAGATAGATAGATAGATAGATAGATAGATAGATAGATAGATAGATAGATAGATAGATAGATAGATAGATAGATAGACAGACAGACAGACAGATAATCTCCTCGCACATGCACACACACACACACGTTTTGATCTCTGAAAATCAGGATGGTGGAGGGCAGGACTGCTTCTACTCGTTCTAGTAACATATGCATATCTCTAAATCTAGTCACACAAATTTCTTATTTTTGGACTTCTGCAAGCAGGCAAAGCTCTTCTTAATCATATAAAATTTAGGAATAAATTGACTGCTGGGGAAGGATCTGTATATCTGCGTACACTTTATACCTCTTCGGTTTTCTTGATGTGTTTTGTTTTTAGCTTGTTTTAAACTTGGTGGGTTCTTTTTAACATGATAATCAATGTCATAGTATTTTTAGTATTATGACTCAATCAGCTAAAATCCTATTGGGGAAACCACACGCATAAGGGCAACTTCAGAAGTGTTTTTCCCCTTTGGCTTGCTATCTGTTGTGCTGCCACACACACAATCAGGCATACCATTGTCTCTTATCAGTCAGTGCAGGGAACATGTCAGACAGACTGCTAACAAAGTGATACAGCTTGCATGGTTGCCCTCGTGTGATTGTTTAGGGCAACAGCCATTATGTTTTTAATATTATATACTTTTTAATCATACTGTGAGCCATTTTAGAGTTTGCACTGCGAAAAAGGTAAGATAAGATGAATTAAGATATGATAAAATAAGTAAAATCCCCCGAATAATACTTGTTTCTGCTGGTTCCTGACCACTCCGTACTCTGACAGTCGTATGATTATTGTTTTAAGAGTAGCTACCGGTATATATTCATTCTGAAATAACTTAATGGTTTGGAACATCTGGTGTACAGCCAGGAGCTTGAACCCTCACTATGCCTCACAGGAGAGCCTGCCAAAAGGAGTTACCTGCTGCCTGTGGAGCCTTGGACTCGCTGCACAGTCCCAGAACACCAAAAGAAGAAGGGAACTTTAAACCACTTTTGAGTGATTTATATTTGGAAAATTTTGGGAGGGTTGCCTAGGTCAGAATAGATGTGGTAGCACAGAACAAATTATCTACTCATCTAAATGTACAGCTTCATATGGAGTGGCCAGAAAATATGAGTTACAAATTTGGCTTAATTAAAATCTAATTTAAAAGTCTAATTTTAAATCTAAGTTTGCTGTTGTCCCATTGACAGTATTTATACTTGATTCCCAGGCCTTAACTTTCTGTAACTTCAGAATTTTAAAAGTTAATTGAAAGATTCTATTCAATTATTAAAAAAAATACACAGGAGGAACATTGCAACTCTGAAAGCTGAAGCTTTAGAATCTGACCACTGAGATTGTCAGCCAGTAAGTAAATAACAAGTCATTTCAAAAACGTCATCTTCCTGTATGTGTGTCAATTTGTTCAGAACAGAAAGGACGGAACAGACAAACAGCAGCAGGACTGAGTTATGCGACAGCACAGTTCCCCCAAGCACAGATGGAATATATTTCCTCATTTTCCTTTGGTACCACAATACAGTACTTATTCTGGATAGTAATAATAAAAATGGCCATATTTTAGTTTCCCAATTAACATAAAGAAGGACCTGGAGATTCTTAGTTCAAACAGCTATATGGAGCTACACTGATGATTTCACAGAAAAACAGATACAATGATTAATCACAGACGCTAGACAGATCATACAGGTTTTTTTTTCCTCCCTGTTGTTCTGAATAAATTAGTCTGCAAAAGACATCACACTAAACCAAGGTCTTTCCCTTCATATTTTATACTGCACCAGATTTGTGTGAAGGACAAATCCTTTATTGGCAAAAAGTGAAGAAGTAAACAGGTTCCAGCCGTGGCATTTTATTACTGGAATGGCTAGACTACATACATGCATTGTCTGCTCAAAGCCACAATATCACTCTTTCTGATCATTTGCAGCAGATTTTAAATACTGTTTTCAAAGTAGCTCTTTGAACTGCTCTGTAATATTTGAACCACAGTTAAATAAATCAAAACTGATGAAATAAGTAATTAAATAACATCACACATGCATTAAACCAAGCCCTACGTTAATCATCTTCACCGGATGTCTCTGGGTACCCTGTCTGCAAAGGCAGAAAGAAGAGCTACTTTGCATCTCAATGAATTGCCCCCAAAAGATTGCATGGCCTAGCTAGCCCTGTGCCAAAAAGATACGGGCCAGCTCTTAAAGGGGATGAATGAACCATTTAAGTAGAAACACAAGCAGACAAGGTCTTTGTTTCTATTCCAAACAGTGCTATCAAAGACCCATATACCATAACTACATGCCAGTGGAGATAGGCTCTAAGATAACAGGAAAATGTAAATAGTTACTGCTGTATATGCAAGTTCTAATTTAAGAACCAATACACCACTAAATACCAGCATCAATAAAAGATGTGGGGGTTCTGTGGCTTAGCTTTGCAGAGGGATCTGGACATTGGACAAATGGACAATTTGCTCCATTCAGCATTCATTTTCTAACTCTACAGTAACTTCATAATGTAAATGGAGAAAATCATTAGCGCAAAAGAGAAAGCCTGTTTTTTGTTAAGTACGTGTCATAACCTACCCACAAATCTGTCCTTAAGGAATAAGGAAACATATCTAACAAATACAGTACCTAGCTACCACTAGAAAACTCTCCGGATATGCACAGCATAAAAGTTAATTTAAACAAAACTTGCTAGTGTTTTTGGTCTCTGGATGTTAAATATCTCTACCGGGCACATATAACCAGAAAACACAAATTATGTGACAGCACAAAATGACTGAAGTAATTATGAAGGATGTGACTTACTGCATTCTTTAAATTGGAGTTCATTCAAATGCCAATGGTTATGTAAAAGCTATGGCCACTATTTCATTATTCTGATAATAAATAAATAAAACAGAAAATCATAGTATTTTTTAAAAGGACTAACCCAATCTTTGGAGGAGGCATTCAACGGCAGATAAGAATGTTAGGAGGTGCATGAGATTGTCTTAAGTAAAAGGGAGGGAAGATAAACTTAAGTTTGGAAGCCCCATAAAGAAGGCTATTTCTAGATCTTTATCTCTGTTTTCCAAAAGATATATACAAACTGCTGGATAGCTCTGTGGTTCAGGTCTCTGGTTGCAGATCCTAAGGTTGTGAGTTTGATTCCCCATTGTGCCTCCTTAACAGGGGTTGGACTTGATGATCCATAGGGTCCCTTCCAACTCTGCAATTCTATGATAATGATGATGATGGGACCTACTTTCATTCACTTCTTTAACTGGATTTTAATTTAACATAACATTTCCAATTTGATTTTAATGTGTTGTTATTCACTCATCTCTAGTACTCAATACAATATGGAGCTCCAAAGTAGTGAAACAAAAATCCAAAGGAAGCAATATTCCAATAAATATATACAAGTATATTTTGGTATAATTGTACAATAATAGTGGGACAGTTTTGCAACTCCAAGGAAACTTCAGCAACGATTCATGTTGTAGCAGAAAAACATTAAGAGAAGATTAAACAACAGGATTTGTAGAAAGGCTGTTGGAGAAGTAGGGAAGTAGCCTGAGTTGCTAAGAGACAAAAGGGAGGGGCTGATGAATAGCATGTAGCTCAGTCATACAGTTTGCAAAGTGGCTCAGAACTATTAGTCATTTCTCCTTTAATAACAGTACTTGTTGTTTTGTTTTCTAAACAAAAAATCTGATGCCATTTCTATACCTGGAAGGGTAGTTTCTGTGTGATGCCCCTGTTCATAGCAAGATAAATCACCAGACTGCCAATCTTTCTGAAATTGGAATAATTTGCAATACTTATGCCCATAGCTGACCAAACAAATAAAATATTTCAGGAGTACTCTGATGAAGTCTTTTCTCAGATTACATAATATACCATATTTTTCCATGTATAAAACCATACTTTTGTCTAAAATCTTTAGACTAAAAATTGAGGGTCGTCTTATACACGGAAGTAAGCTGTGGAGAGAAAAAAGAAGTGCAGGGGAAAGCAGGAATCGAAGTGATCCTGCAGTGCTTTGATCCCTTTCCCCCTACACTTGCTAAAACCCACTTAGATTTCTTACATGGGGATGTTTTATACACGGAAAATATGGCATGTTCTAAAAGTATTTTTTTTTATTCTCCATATGATTTTATCATAGAACAAAATTTCTTCTGTATTTAAATTTCCTACCATAAAGAAAAAGTCTCTTCCTCAAATAAATTTACAATCTTAATCCAGATTAAGACAAATTTAGAGGAAACAGACATTATTTCAATGACATTGAACAGGATTACATACAATCTATAATATAACATTTTGAATAGATTAATAGTCAAAGGAGAGGGCAGGGTTGGGGAATGGAGAGCTGCTGGGAGATATTCAAAGAAAGAACATTACATATAGCAAATAGTCATGGCAAGTTTTTGAAACGGAACAATAAATGTCTATAAATACACATCTCTTCAGAAGAAGAGCTTGGGGCTATACATTTAAATTAGTTTATAAATTAAACTGGGCATGAGGATTTCCTCCCCACTTCAGAGTCATCTGGGGAAAGATGCAACATTGTGATCAGAAATCAATCTCATGGGGTACTGTGTGTCATGGAGACTGCTGGGTTACTGAAGAAGATCTAAGGCCCCTTGAAGTACTAGCAAGACTTTTTCCAAGTGAGAGAGAACATTACTTTTTAAGAGAAAGGCAGGGTATAAATAAATTAAATAGGTAAGGAGGAAGAGAAGGAGGCGAAAATAATCCTTGGCGACCTAGGATTTAAAAGGTAAGACCAACCTTCTGAAAAGGTTTATACTCCTTCCTGCTGAACTGTGTTATTCTTGAGGGAATGTATTCGTCTCACTTCCTTTATCATAATTATTTTGTTTTTGTTTTTAATACTGCCTGTACCAGCAGAAAAGTGTTTCATGTAGCACCAAGCAATTGTGAAACATCAGAACTGAAACACCCTTATTAGAGTATGAAACAGGAAACTTAAGACACTGCACAGTCTCATTGATTTGAAAGCTTAAGATATCTGCCTTTCTACTGCTTATAACACCAGAAAATAATTCAGGGACATAAGATGTATAGCAATGAAAAATACAGCCTGCAAAAGGTCAATGAACTCTACCCAGCCACAAGGACCAGTGATTACTGCACACAAAAGACAAGCTAACAACACCCATCAATCACAGTGACAGATCATCTCCCCCCCTTATCACAACAATACATCCACAACAAAAACAGCTGATCACCATAATCATCCAATCTCCTGAAAAGGATAAAAGCTGTTCCCACTCAACTATCCAACAAACTGCAACAGAGCACAGACAGCATTCTGACTCCTGTCCTTTGAAGATACTGGCCACAGAGACTGGTGAAACATTAGGAAGAACAACCTTCAGAACATAGCCAAAGAGCCTGAAAAACCCACAGCAACCATGTATAGGATTTCTTTACCAACAATTCTAACTCTAAATCAGGGCTTACTCCACAGCTCTGTTGACTATTAGGTAACTGGGAGGGCTTCTAGTAGGCCTCAGTTAATGCAGATTCTAATTTCTCTTCTTGCCCACAGGTGATTTAAAAAAAGCCTCAGTCAACACCAGACAGGTTCCCTGCCTACTTTCCATTTATCCGCTATTATCTTTATCACTTATATGTATTTTTTTCAGCCAAAATTATAATTGCTAAGGTAGGTCCAGCCACTTTCCCTTTTCCCCATCTTGTAGACACTCATTAAGGCTGAATTCCATGAGGAAACTCCACATCTTATGGAAATGTGCTCTATAAGTTACTATTTCAAATTCACAAATTTAGCAAAAATATTCCTAATGTTTTATCCTTATGCTGATAAGGTTCTACATACATGTCTCAGGACTGAATATGTTTGTAAGGGACGTGATGGTGCTGCGGATTAAACCGCAGAAGCCTCTGGGCTGCAAGGTCGAAAGATTAGCAGTTCAAATCCACACGATGGAGTGAGCCCTCATCGCTTGTCCCAACTCCTGCCAACCTAGCAGTTGGAAAGCATGCAAAAATGTGAGTAGACAAATAGGTACCACCAAGGTGGGAAGGAAACAGCATTCCGTGTCTAGTCATGCTGGCCATGTGACCATGGAAACGGTCTATGGATAAATGCTGGCTCTATGACTTAGTAATGGGGATGAGCACCATGCCCTAGAGTCAGACACGACTGGACTAAATGTCAAGGGGAACCTTAACTATGTTTGTACATGACTGTTTTTTTTTTCAGTTTGCAAATATGAAATTGCAAAATCAGCAGAGAAAATAATTACCAGCAGTCTTTGATATACAACATGTGCCCAAAAGCTGAAGCGGTGATGTAAGGCAGCCATCTGAAATACAATTAAATGAGCTGTGAGTAAGTTCTGGGTTCAAATCTGGATGTTACTTATCTTGAGTCAAAAATGATGCAGCAGAGTTATGAATAAAAGAATTTTTATTATTAACATCAACTGAGTCATTTTGGTTTACTTCACTTGAACAACAGATAGATAACTGAGGAGGGTATTCCTCCCATAACCACAACAAAGAACGCTCATCAACATCTTTTAACAACAGTTTTTTTCTCTTATTCTGTCTTGCTTGTTTTCTTCAACCGCTGATCACGTCCCACACACAGTGTCCTGCAACACGGGTGACGAGCCCATTCTACCATTACAGGTTGCTCTATCACCATCTTCGGGTCTGCTGTGGGGGTTGATCCCTCTGGACCGGGAATCCTGGGATATACTACGATGGTCCATTCTATAGGACTCAGTCCTGGAATAACAGGGCGGTAACTTGCTTTAGAGGAGGTCCCTTCTCCTGGATCCTCTACACTCTCAGCCACTCTCTTTCGGGGTACTGAAAAGACATGTCCTGTTCTCTCCATTCCCTTTGTTTCTTGTTCTGGAAACATGCTCACTTTCTCAGTCTCGGTGGAGGTCCCTCCTATTTCTCTAGTCAAAAATACATCTACTTGCTCCCTCTCCTGACTTATCCTCCTCCCTTCCCTCGTCTCAGTCTCCAACTGCCTCAACGGTTCTTTCCTCCTCACGCCTTCTCTTTCTCCTCGAGATCTTTTTAGTTCTCCCGCGTGGCTTTCTCTTTCCTCTTTTTCGTCACGCATCTCTGCAGCTGGTTCTTTTGTTCCTTTAATTTCTCCTTCCTTTCCTCTCTCTGCAGTTTTACTCTCCTGCACTATGTTATATTCGTGAGGGGATGGCTCACCCTGACTCTTACTCTCACATGAGCCAAATATATTATTTCAAACATTTCAACATGTTAAAAAAATATACCAGTTATAAAACTTGCAGCAACAACAATACCTGAACAATTTCTTTGAGACTGTGCACAGCTGGAGGGAAATACAAGTCTGAAATGTGTTCTCCTTCATCTGTATCTATGTCTCTTTGGTCAGAATCAACAGCAAGAATATAACAGAAACTAGGAGGAAGCAGGTTAGCTGTTACCTGTTGAAAATAAACAAAATAGGTGCAGTCATAAAGAGTGAACGCTTGATATTAAACTTATTTATTCAGCTGGAGAGTTGGAAGACCTTTATCAACACAAATAGGAAGCAAGGATATAGAGGATTTTTTAAAAAGGTATAGTTAATAGCAGTAGCAGAATAGCAGAAACATCTCTAAATGCTAACAGGCTGTCGTCCTGGTAAAATCGAGAATAATATTTCATGTATACTTCCATTTGCAGCTACACCTGTGAATGCCTGTCATAAAGAAAGCCAAACCAAGCACAATCAACCAATCAAAAAAAATTATCTTTGTCATGCTAGCCATGGTAAAAATGCTCTATTATTTCCATAGCTTATAATTTCTGTAACTTTTAAGAATTTCAGTACATGGGTAAATTTGACGATCAACAGATGAAGCTGCCTCACTCAGAAACATGAATTCTGCCAAAGTAACCTTCAGCAGCAAGAACTCGGTAACATTAAGCAATGTGATGTTCCCCTTCTCCTTTCCAGTTATGGTGAGACCAAGTAATTTTATTTAAAGAAAAATAAAGGCTAAAAGACTAAAATGTTATGGTATTAGTCAATTTTAGTGCTACAGAGGTGATATATAATTCATCTTAGGAACTATTGAGTCAAAAAGGAGAATAAAGGAATTTTGATTTAAAAGGAAATGCAATTGTTTAATTATTTAAATAAATTCCATTAATACACAAAATGAGTCCTTTCCAACATTTCTAATAGAAATACTAGTTTCCATTGATTCAAATAAAGTCTTATATCATACGTCCTTGCAGGAAGATACAATGAACTGTCTTATGGATTTAAGTTTAGATGTAGAAAAATGAGCACCATACAGAGTTACTGTATTAGTGTTAAGAACAATGGGCACAAATTAGCAGTATTTTAAAATAAGCAGTATTTTAAGTCTTGTAGAGCTTTACGTTTTATTCTTGATTTTTTAGCTTGCCAAATAAACTTAGAAATCACTGCATCAACTTCCTTACAGTATATTCAGCAATACTAGTAAATTTTGGAAATAAAACAATAGCTTTGGCAGGATATTCATTTTTATAATAGCAATTCTACTTAGCAGTGAGAGTTGTAATTTAGCCAAATTTCAGGTTTTCCTTGTATTTATTTAAGTATTAGAAGATAATTGTCTTTCATCAAAGTACTTGGTTTTTTTTTGTGATGCCTATTCCCAGATAGTTAATCTTTGTCTTGTGTTCAAATCCTGTTCCCATTTCTAATTTCTTTGCCTCTTCTTGTGTCATATTTTTGTCAAGAATTTAGTCTTTTCATAATTTAATTTGAGTCCTGTGACTGCCCCAAAGTTTTCAATTGTATCTATTAATTCTCTGATTGATTCCTCCAGGTGTTCTAATAATATTACCAAATCATCAACGTAAGCTTGTAATTTATATTCTTCTCCTTTTATTCTCAACCCTTTGATTTTGGAATCGTTCTTTATTTGTCTATTTAGTATTTTTAGTGTCAAAATGAAAAATAAAGGTGATAGGGGGCATCCTTGTCTTGTACCTTGTTGAATTTGAAACTCTACCAAGATTTGACCATTAATCTTGAATCCTGCTTTTTGCTGTGAATAAACTGATTCGATTGCTTGTAAAAACTTCATTGAAGGCCCATCATCTTTAATGGACTCAGCATAAAGTTCCAATTCACATTATCAAAGACCTTTTCTGCAGCTAAAAAAATCAGCATCATTTGTTTTTTCTGGATGCGCTTCATAATAGTCCAATATATCTATCACTATTTTTATATTTGTTCCTAATTTCCTTTTAGGGAGAAAGCCAGTCTAGTCTTTATGTACCATCAGAGTTAAAGCCTTTTTCAGTCTATTGGCTAAGATGAAAGCAAATATCTTGTAGTCCACATTTAAAAGAGATATTGGTCTATAATTTTTAATTTGATTCCTTTCTGTTCCTGATTTGTGCATTACATATATCTGTGCCTCTTTCCATGATTCAGGAATTTTTCCACCTTTCTCCATAGCTTCTATTAGTTTTTTAAAATGTGGTATCAATTCTTCCTGTAAAGCTTTATAATATTCTGCCAGCAACCCATCTGGCCCTGGTGTCTTGTTATTTTTCTGTTTTTTCCAAGCTTCTATTATTTCATTCATTGCTATAGGATTGCTCAGATTTTTTAACTGTTGCTCCAAAAATTTCCAGGGTGGGATTCCTTCAAAGTATTTTTCTTGTTGTTGGAAAGATATACAGTATGTTTCTTTTAATATACATTTTCATAAAATTTCATTGCTATTTCTTTAATTTTTCTTATTAAAGGTTTCCTTCCCTTCCTTGTCTAAAAGTGAATTAATCATTGTATTTTCTCTTTCTTTTTAAATTCTATATGCCAAACATCTTCCCGGTTTATTTGCATTTTCAAAAAAAATCTGTCTTGCAAATTTTTTCTTTGCCATTTCTTCCTGATCAAACAAGTTAATTTTATGCTGTAATATATTAATCTTGTTTTAAGTTCTTGTATTGTCAGATTTTTCTTAAACTCCTCTTCCTCTTCTTTGAGTGCCTTAATTAAAACCTCCATAAGCAAACTCAGACCAAGGGTGTGCAACTTCTGGCCCTTCATATGTTGCAGAACTACAACCTTTATCATGTTCCACTTTGGCCGGGCTGGCAGGCTGAGAATAATGGGAATTGAAGTCTAACATCTGGAGGATCACTGGTTGCTTGCCTTGCCTTAGATATAGTACTGTCCTCTCACTTCCACTCATATCATTCATTTAGAATAAGGTAACACTGGTATACATTTTCAGAGCTACTGTAAGGATTATTGCAATGAGGCATATGACATGCACTGAACATTTGAAATGTGGTAAATAAATGCTAGGTATTATTTTAAAAAAAGAAATAAATACTTGAAATTTCTTCATTTTTGCATCTATTATCTGGAATCACTATTTCATTTATTGAATAGCCGTGTACTAGGACACAATAGTTTTAATAATGCCACATGCCATGCTATGCTCAGTGTGTCTCGATTGCTTTACAACAGAAGAATATGTTGAACATAACTCAGTAAAAATGTGTTATCCATTTTTAGATATAGTTTGAATATTGCTTTATTGTGCAAGACCTTTTAAAACTGACTTTAATTTAGCAGCATGTTTTAAACTGTCTACTACATTTCATTGTAGCTTTATTACTATAGTCTTCTTTTGTTTGAAAGCTCCAGTGGAGATCCTGATTTTAAATAACAATGATAAATAAATTTAATTAAGCAGAACATGATAATAATTTGCTATGCTGAATATAACAAAATGGCCAAAATCCTATGGTGCAATTTTATGACCCATAACCATGAAGTCATCATCAGCTGCAGCCATTTTGAGGGAATTTAAAAGTTTACTAGTCCCACGCCCATGCCAGGTTCCACTGATCTCTTTCATGCCGGGGAAAGCTTCGGGAGCCACAGAATAGTAGAGGGAACATTTTAAGGACAAAAACTCGACACCACTGGTCTCAGCAGATATTTTAATTACTTTATTTTACTTAGATTTATACTCCACCCCTCTAGACCAGGTCTACTTATCTCTTATCCCAGAGGTAGCAAAAATTAAAACAGCTTGGCTTAGAAGTGGGTATACAAAGAATTTTAACATTCAATTCTGAATTTATTTTGGGAATCTCAACTGCTTTTCTCTAGAATTAAATCAACATCTTAACACCATGACACTAATTCATCTAGGAAATTCTTGGGATGCTAATGGGAACCTCCAGACCAATGGTTCCTAGTGCTACCTTCAAAAGACACAGTGCAGCTTTTCTAATCTGTCATTTCCTCTGAATGATGTTTTTAAAAAAGAATGGGAGAAACATGGAAGGGTTCCAAAAGGAAGTTAGTGTTGTCTTGATTCTTATATACAGTAATTTTGTGAATAAAACATTAATAATTTCATGATAAAAGTCTCATATGGGAGCATACAGTGATAGAACAACCACCAGTTGCTATAGTTCTGCTGAGAGGAAAATATTTAATTAGAGGGAGTGAGATACCTACTGAGCTAAAAAAATGCTTACTTGAGAAACAGAGGATTTGAAACACCAGCTTACCATTTCATTGTCTTGGCTTCGACCAGGAACTGTAAGAGGCTGTTGTGGAGGCCATAAACTGTCTATTAGGCTGAAAAGCCCCAGTACTCTTTGGAAACAAAAATGAATAAAAGATAAATCTGTGGTATCATACTTTCCAATGTATATGTACTCAAAACAGAAATATAATCTCAAAACACATGAATGTGAAAGTTCACATTGTATTTGATCACTCACATAATAACTTGTTGTTTAGTCGTTAAGTCGTGTCTGACTCTTTGTGACCCCATGGACCAGAGCATGCCAACATAATAACTACTGTTGCGTAATTTAGCAATGCAGTTCTCTACATGTCTGTTCAAAATGTGTGCACAGAGGTCAGTGGCACTTACTCTTAAGTACACATCTAGAAGGACTATAACCCTAGATCACAATTTTTATGGGAATACATTACATTGAACACAACAGGATTAAAGTAGGCTCATAAAATTCAGACAGATATTTAAAAATTTAGCAGTACTATACAGTTCTAATCTGATTAAAAGGTACTCTTAAGCAGTGAATCAATTTTAACTGTAGTTAAAAAACATAACTGTCTCACTCTTTTGAGCCCAACAATTAATTATATAGGAAAAATACATGTCTATAAAAATGTGTGCTGGATTTGTCCTGGTTCTAGAGTAAGACTGTTTAAAATAACACTGTGATATATCACAGGTGCACAGGGAATGTGTGGTTAGGCAATACACCTTTTAAAGTCATTACTACAGTGGACCCTCTACTTACAGAATTAATCCGTATTGGAATGGTGGCTGCAGGTCGAAAAGTCTGTAGGTCAAGTCTCCATTGACCTACAATGCATTGAAAACTAATTAATCCCATAGCCGGCCGTTTTTGTTCCATTTTGGTTTTTCCCCGGTCTGTAGGTTGATTCTCCGGCTCCAAGTCGAACCTAAATTTTGCAGCCAGAGAAGTCTGTAACTCGAAAAGTCTGTAAGTCGAGCCGTCTGTAAGTCGAGGGTCCACTGTAATAGGAGCAGGCATGCCTAACAAAAAGTTATAAACCTGGAAATGGTTCTTGAACTGGGATCATACCATACTTGGCAGAACATAGTAGACAGTATGGACATCCTCTGTGCCAGATTTGGAGATGTCTGAACAAAGTTCTAATTTTAAAATTCTAAATTGTTTTCAAAAAGGATTCCTCTCCCTGTGATCACATCCTGCAACTTTCTGGTAGCACATTGCCATTCCTGTAGTTATTTTTCATAAGCCTACCATGAATGCTTCCCCCCTAATGCTTTTTAAAACTTGAAGTGGATCAGTCCTATAATTTAGAAGGCAACATCTGATTAACGGTAGGAGGGGATTTTTCTACATATACTGAATTGGACGTTTTGTAGAGAAAAGGAATGAAGGCAGAGAAAAAGATAAGGAAAAAAGATAAGGAAGGAAAAAGGTAATAAAACCTGGTACTCAAAAAATGAACTGTTATCTGATAAAATAAACAGCAAAATAAAGGGAAGAAATAAGAATTGAGTCATGGCCAAATATTACGGCTTTCTGGTAATGTTTGAAAAAGAAAAACATGATAAGTCATGCAAATAAGGTGTTTCCTATGCCAGCACTGTCAGTTGCAGAGAATGGCTGGAAGTTAGAATGGGAAAGAGGTTAAGGAATCCATCTACCTCACCAGTATAAAATGCAGCTATAAACGTGAATCTTTTTCTGAGGATCATAGGTGTAGGCAGATAGGCCAAAAATATGGGTTTGAGTTAGATATTCATTGTGCGTCATTGTGGAGATTATGTTGTTAGTATGTGCTATTAGGTTGGAATGGACTTACAGCAACCCTAACAAAGCTTTCAAGGCAAGTGAGATATTTAAGGAGTGTTTTTTTCCAGTTCCACACTCCAGTGAGCTTCCATTGCTAAACAAGGATTCAAACCCAGGACCTGTGAGTCCTAATCTATCACTCTATCCACTACACTATATTGGGTATCCTAAGGTGATAGATCAGCATTATTACATCTGCATAACTCCAGCATAATAATATTTAACATCAAGCATTTTAAAGGAACTAAAGTGGAGAGAAAAGGTAGAAGGAAAGGCTGGCAAAAAGGCTTCAAAAGGCTAGACAAGTGGTCATTGGAATGTTTGTGGGGTTTTCAGTCAGTAGATATAAAATGACAAATTTTGGAAAACACAAGTTATGGAAGGAGAAGAACGAAGGGAGATACCTGTACAAGCATATCCAACAATAACAGAGAAATGGGAAGCAGGGTAAGTTTTCCCTTTTGCATGACCAACAAGAGGCACTGATCCAAGAGACAATGCCAGAGATTTGGGACTAGTGGAAGGAATGGTCAAGGGTACTAACATATTTAGTACAGATGAACAGCTATGTAAGAATAGGAGAACTAATAAGAGAAATCTATCAGTAAAGGTCCAAGCCCCTAGGTTTCAAGGAATAAAGTGGTTTCAAGGAAACAAAATACAGTAATAGCCATTAGTGATTTCCTTCTGATAAAATTGGGATTACTTGCAATTTCCATGACTCCTTTTGTATTAACTCATTACTTGACATGATAAATGGCAGGGGCAGTCAGTGAGTTAAGTGTTTTATTTCTGTAGACTATTCAGTCCACTCAAAGAATATGCTGTTCGCTAGATGGAAGTATAGCAATCATCTTTATATGCTTCAATTTTTTGTGATCCAGAACAAATTAAACATTCTGGTATAATAAGGATGACAAGACATAGTAAAGACAAGTGTTAGCTACTTTGGCAGGGATGTGCCTTTTGCTTTCTGTAACAAGGCAAAAACCTATAGACTGAATTTCAACAATGATATTTTCTATCGATACAGTTTCTACGCAGTGGAAGATCTGCCTAAATTGTTAGAGATCTATGAGTAGCATTAGTAAAAAAAATTCTGCACAAAATAACACACAAGCAAAAAACTAACCTAGCAAATTCCATATGATAAAATTCAGTGCAGGGCCTCTCTTCCTTGTTTTAGTCACAATCTCCTATCATCTGTTAATCTGCTGTAAAGTATTCAGGTTATAGTAGCAGAGCTCAAGGAAGGCTGTAGTCATGTATGAGTAAGAGTAAGAGAATGAAAGGATACCAGGAAACAAATATGCTGCCTCACATAATCTTAATCCAGTTGATTAGTAATTATTGCATGTAGTTCTCATCATCTTTTTCTCAAAAACAGTGGAACGAGAAAATATAAAAACAACAAAAACAACTGAGTATGTGGCCTCCTTTTCTTCAGACAAAAAGCTAAAAGAGACAACAGCTCTAAACAAGGCCAGGTCTCACTGTCAATTCCTTCATACATTCAACAATATGAAAATACAGTCTTATGGAGAAATACCAGCATGAACTGGACCATACAAGCTACAGTAACATATTTACAATGTTCATTATAGTAATGGCACAGCCCCATGGAGAACAGTGATTAAGAATATCAGTGTTCAACTCTTTCAGACTCAGGATGCACACCTATTCCTGAGAGGCAACATGAGCCACTTCAGCTTTTTCTTTAACCACATATGGTCATGTTACTGCTTTTCATTTTAAGATGTGAAGGAGGGCTCACGATGCTTGTTTTTTTTTTTAAATGGCAGTATGGGAAAGGACACTTTGGCAATTGCAGCTTCCAATTCTGGGGTAAAAAAAATATTGCAGTTCACTCTTTTGATCTTTCTCATTTGCCCTGCATTTCTTTTTAAAAATATACCTTCGAACAAGAAATGAAACATTTAAACTTTGCAGCACCTGGTGAGAATAAACTAAAGTGGATAGGAGTAGGACTGAAATATACACCGAACATTCTCCTCCACCTGTGCCTTGATGAAATTTTGTCTCTAGCAAGCATCACAGTGGAGAAGAGCCAGGCCAGGGTCACTGTCAGTTGTGTGGCAATTATTTTATAGCCTGGTCACCCATTTTAGACATGGCTCAAGCTAATACATATACTTAATCTATAGACAAGACATACATTGATTATGCCATAATAAACACATCTGTCTATAAGAGTGGGGACTTTGGTCTTCCAGATGTTGTTAGACAACAACTCCCATAACCTCTGATTATTAGCTATATGGTCTGATTTAAGGCGCTCCAATGCACTTCGTAATTTTAACAGCAGTAATAATGACTCTCTTCTAGAGGATACAGTGTTTCTTTTCCTTACCTTCCTCTGGTGACTCTTTGCAAAATTTTCACTCTGGATAAACAACAGTATTTTCCCTCCCATTTTGTGCTGTACTTCTGGATTGGTTCCGATGAGGAAAAGAGGACTTGAAATTGTATTTCACTGAATATTCCATAAGTATCTTGAACAAGGAGGCACAATCTGTCCAAAAAAAAAGAAAGAAAGAAAAAGAGAACAATCCAGTCCATGTCAAGTCCAGAAAAATCACTGAAATATACAAATCTAACGAGCTCTAGGCGAGAGGTCCGAACACCAACAGCGGTAAAATGGAAGTGAGGGCTGAGGCGGTTGGAGCATGTGCTACAGGGGCAACCTAAACTTTGTTATTTTTCTCCTAAAAGCTCTAAAAGATTCCGAGAGGACCTGCACAGGCGCTGCTTAACCCACTTGTGTGCATTCATAGAGGCCACGATGAAGAATATATATTTTTCATTAAAATAAAGTTCCCTTACACTTAATAGTGGCTAAAATTTGGGGGTGGAGTAGAGTGGAGGTGTTGAGGGGATCCCCCAAATATAGAAAAAAACACCCAGCCACTAGACAGCACAAGGTGACATTTTAAAAAGTACAACTAGGGCAGAGGCGGCATTGGGGCCTATGGGAAACATACTGAACACCTGTTGTAAGTGCATGAATTTAAATAATTCATTAGCAGGGATGATAAAACTCCTGCCTGAGACTACAGAAAGCTTCCACCAGTCAAGACATATGTTTTAATCCCCAGCACCACCAAAGTGTTTTTTTTTAATATTTCTGGCCTATTATGGCCCTCAAGAGATGCTGTGGGCTAAAGAATTAGCCCTAGCCCAATCAAATTTGCCCACTCCTAGTTTAAATGTAAGAACTAAAGGAAGAAAGTCACATTCCAGTCTTCTCACTGTGTATGCATGTGCACACAAACACACATATGCACACACTTTTTAAGCCCTCTTGTCTCCTAAGAAAAATGAAAACCAAACCTGGAATGGTTTAGAAAGACATTTATTAGAATCAACCAAACTTTCACAAAAATATTCACATCTTTGTGGAATTTTAGCTGATCCTAATAAAGGCATTGTGGATTTTGTCTTGTTTTATTCTCATGGATTAACACAGTTATCTTTGCCATTATATCTTCTATGGTAGTAATTCCTGCTACTTTCCCCTATGATCTGCCACATCTGATGCACTGAATACCAGTCCTCTTTATCCTAGTACAGATATGTCAACTCCACCCATGACTCCTAACGTAGGTGTCCATAATTTGTTTGGCACAGCTCTATTCTTGTGTTTAACATCTGTATGAAACCATTAAAGAAAGAGATATGATGCTTAGAGTGGAGGTGTAATCAATATGCACTTGGCATCCAGTTTTATTTCTTCTTTTCCTCCATCAGGTGAGTCAGAAAGACATGTGAACAGGTGCCTGAAATCAGTGACGAAATGGATGAGAGTAAACAAAAGCAGGCTCAGTCTATTTAAGATGGAGACATTGTTGGTGCTTGGCTCATCTGCTCATGTTCTGTTCTAGATGACTCTGCATCCTGAAAGAAGTTGATATGTAGCATGGGAGTACCAGGCCCAAAATGTTTCATATGCAAATGATTTGAAGATTACTCAGGAACACAAAGTGGTAGAAAATGCAGCAACCAGACCATCAGATGGATTCACAAGGCCCATGATCTTGATAAATCCCCACCTTTCTTTGCAATCTCTGTTGTTTCCCCATCCTGAATTTGTTGCTTTGGTGCAGACAACTATCCCCATTTTACACTGCAATAATAAGTTCCAAGATGTCTTTGTCTAGTTTTTAAGTTGGTTTATATCTTCCAAACACCTCCTGTATACTTTTGTGTTTTTTTAAAATCACAAACCCTCCAAACTTCAGGTGCACAGTGGCAAATTAGGCAAGACAGGGTAGATTGTGGGGCAATGCAGGCCTCCTTGGCCAAAAGCTGCCAGTTCTGTGGTAGATAATTGACAAAAACTAGCTGCATGGAACATCTCGATTGTGTCAAAGTAACTTTGCTGACTCTTTTCAATTCCATTACTGCTACTGTTATGTTCATATTACATTGCTGCCAGATTTTCAAAATGTAATTTTGTTATATAAACTATCTCAAACTTTCTAAGAAAAGTATATTAATAAAGATGTAATATTATTATTTATTGCATTTTCAGTCCCTCCTGTTTCTGAGAAGATCACAACTATATATATGCCCTGAAATAAGGGTTACGTGTATATATGCCTTTAAAGCATTTAAAGTACAAGAAGATTTTCCTCTTTAAAAAATAATAAGGTGGTAGCAATTTACATTGTTTTAAAAACTAAACCATGGTTAGTCAATTTATTAATGGAAAAGAACCGTCCCTCTGGGAAATGGCAGCCTACTTATAGCTCAACATCAACACAGGTGGAAAGTAACCTGAGGTAAAACTGATTTTCCCTTCAGTTAATGCTGCAAAAACATGTGTAGATGCCTGAAGACAAAAAGATATTTGTAGGTGTGTGGTTGCCCCTGGAGAGGCCACAAAGATGAGAGTGTGAGAACAGATGGGTGAAAAACCCACACATGATTCACTGGGAAGAGCACAGGCAAGGGCAGGATGTGATAAGAAAAGAAGCAGAGATTAGGCTTTTCTCCCACCCCCATGGACTAATTCTCCTTGAAATGGTAAACCCATGCCTTGGGTTAATGGCTTGGGGGGGGGGGAGGTTGCATGTCTGAGTGTTCCTCCATGCCAATTTTTAAATCCCCCCACACAGAAAACTGACATCATCAGGAAGAAGGCTCAGCTAAATCGCTTTCTCCTGAACTAGTTGTGTTTTTTTTAAAGCTGAAAGGGGGTTGTTATGTTTTATATGGAGGGGCATCCAGAGATGTAAGCCACAATCCTAAAGCCTCAAGAAACACAGCCCAGACAGAGGTTTACCAGTGAGAATTAGGTCATTGTGAATCTCATTTCAAAGCTTGGGAGTAGTCTGTTAATTTCTTTAAAGAGCTGGAGGCAGAGGAGAGGGAAGGCGAGGCCAATTACTCTGCATTGTTTTTCTTACTGTGGTGGTAATGCTTAGATTTATTCATTTCCCAGTGGATATTTAGAAATGATTATGGTATCATGCCCCCTTCTAGCTAGTCATCCTCCTTGGGAAAGAAACAGATTTTGTTGTTGTTGTGATTGGGTACACAAAATGGGTATATAAAGTTGATGATTCCTTGTGTATCTTTTGTCCCTCCAGAAAGGCATAACTCATGCTACAAGACAGGTGTATTTAAAAATAATGGTTAGATTCCTATGGGGACAAAACATGCACATAAGGACAATCACACAAGTGTTTTTTATTTTCTCCAGCTACTGATTATGCCCCCAGTTGTATAAGCATTTCTGCAATAACGGGAGGTCTGGATGTACAGTGGGCATTCAGGAAATACTTCCCATTACTTGCCTATATTACCTTTATACAATGACGTAACTCAGTAGAGTTCTGGCCAATGTTCTAACAAAAATGCTAGCAATATCAGAGAATTGCATGAACATATCATGATATGCAATAACGTGAATGAGAGGTTTGTAACTAGCCTTGAAGAAGGAAATAATGGAAAGAAAACACTGTGGGAATAAAATCTGATCTATAAAGGAAGAACAAAAATTATTCAGATTTCTGTGATGTGCCTATTCTTTGACAGCAAGAAGGGGGATGGAAAATAAAGGCAGAAGCTAGTAGAATGCTTACACATGTAATTTATCTGCCTGATATCAGTGACAACATTTGGTCATTCAAGATAGGGTGCTGCTGATTATGCCTGCTCCTAAAGGAAACTTACTGCCTGTCTCTGTTCTCTTCAAGCAGGGCCAAAACATGAGGAAGTGTGCACGTGTGCATCTGCACACACTGTAATAACAGGACCTCTGTTCTCCATTTCTTCAGTCAAAACAGACATTTGTGCCTACAGAGATCCAATCCACCAACTTGTCTGGTCAAGTCCTGAGGTGGAGCTCTTTAACTTCTACTGGTGTGGCTGAGAATCAAAGAGCAGCCTTCAAGACTCCACCCAAACAGGATTTAATTTATCTGAACTTCTCAAATGCAAACAAAAGCCCTCCACCCACTCCACGTATTATCTCTAACACAATCACAATCCTGGAGAAAGATGTGTAGGCACAGAAGGACACAAAAATCAACCTTTCTGTCCTGAAATACTACAGGAATTCTTATGTACTTGTCTAAAATATTCTGTATCATTTCTATCAGTCTTATAATATTCTCACACCTTCACAGCAGATGTTAGCTATTACATACTTCATAAGATATTCTATGGCGATGAAGATACCTGAATAGATTTTGAAACTTTAAGCTCCACCTTGAATGTTAAAATATTCTCAAATCATCTGCTCACACAGGCTGTATATGTGGGCATTTTACCTAGAACTCAGTGGGGCTTGTTTCTAAGTAGATACAAACACAACTATACTGCTGGTTATTAGGTAGAAATCTAGATAAAACTGTTTCACATTCTTACATTCTTCTCAATATCCTCCATGGTTTTCCCTCAATACCGTATTTCCAAATTGCAATCATTTAATTTAGCTCCCAAACAGACTTCAGTACCATCACCATACAAGACTGTCGTCGTGACTGCTGTAGAAAACTATTGTGTGAAACATGGAGTAATGTGGCCCGGATCATGGGTTCTTGATTATGCATTTGTAAAGGGTTTTCTAGATATAGAGTATTCAGAAGTAATTTATCAGTCTCCTCTGGGGACAGTGCAACCTGCCCAAGGCTACACAACCTGGCTCTACTCCTGAAAAGTCAGGTCCACAGTTTGGGTGTACTCCTAGACAGGACACTGAACCTGGATGCTCAGAACTTGGTAGTAGCCAGGAGTGCACTTGAACAGTGTGCTAGCTGCACTCATTCCTTGAGATGTCTCGTATGGCTATGGTGGCATACAATTTAGCCATCCCTCTCTGGATTACTTCAATGCATTCTACATGGGGCTGATTCTGAACAGTGTTTGGAAACTTTACCTGGTTCAAAATTTTGTAGCCAGATTGCTGACTGACACTGGTTTCTGGGAGTACATTACCCCCCTATTAAAAAGCTTCATTGGCTGCCGGTTTGTTTCCAGGCCCAATTCAAAGTACTGCTTGTCACC